CCACTGTGGCATTCCAGGAGGAGTTAATTGTGATACAATACCACAATTAACCAAATAGTCAGAGAACTCTTGGCTCATATACTCGCCACTATGATCAGATCAAAGTGTTTTGATCGTCTTGCCAAGCTGGTTCTGTACTTCGTTTCTGAAAGTTTTGAACATTTCAAGTGTTTCAGACTTATGTCTCATCAAATAGACATAACCGTATCGACATAAATCATTAGTGAACGTAACGAAATACAGATAACCTCCTCTAGCTGGACAACTCATTGGTCCGCATACATCACTATGTATCAGGCCCAATAACTCTGTCAATCTCTGTCCTTTCCCCTTGAAAGGATGCTTCGTCATCTTGCCCATCAAACAAGACTCGTTGTTGGTTTAGTGCTCTATGATGTACTGTTATGCGAGCTTTATTTAGATACATTTGATGTATTTACACCTTCTATGGTTTATGGATGAGTGTTTTATTCATTACATGTTTTGCATACTTGATATGTTATGAAATCCATGTATTGTTATGAACAATACTAAACTCCCTAGTCGTATGTCGTTGCGGGAATAATGATATAATAAGACTAGTATGATGTGTGATTGATGATCATAGAGATGATCATAGGTATTGGATACAATCACAATCAATAGGTATTCGTTGAAGAACGGAATACTGGATTGACCCGCATGAGATTGTCACAAGGACTAGCGTCATGACTTGAATCTCATATGACGGTTCCATGATTGGATGGAACGGAACGGACTGTGCGTTTGGACCGGACGGTCTGAGTGTTAGACCATCCGTTCCAGCTGTTCTGAGGTTGGACCGTCCGTTCCGACTTCTGAGGGCTGACCATTCCTTCTGCCAAGGCTGGACCGTCCGTTCTACATCTAGAACGGACGGTCCGAGGTACAGATTCCGAAATTTTTCGTTTTTCTAGTCCGATTATGCAATCATTACTTAATCTGATCAACTGTGACTCAAATAAACATCATTTGTTCGTTTGGATGGTTCATAGTGAATGAATGCATGTAACTTAATCAAGATATTAGATATGCTTGATTGAGTGGGAGCTTCGGGATTGGGATTACATAATTGAATGGATGGTCTATTCGGATTATGTAATACATCTGATCAAAGAACAATAGCTGATCTTTGATAGTACAATCATTGCACAGAAACTGGTTAGATTTAGGAGCTCTACGAGTAAAGCACTTCTCAAGGCCTCGATCGTACGTGTCATGGGCCTTGCCAAAGCTGGGTGTGCCGTGCTATCTTGGTGAGGCAAGATGGAGAAATAGTGGTTCTCATAGCTCGAAAGTAGATGTTTGATGTAAGTGTGGTTTCGAAAATCCCTTTTATGTAATGCTAAGCGTGTACCTTCCATTACTAGAGCACTTGTCAAGGCATCGATTGTCCGTAACACGAGTCATGCCAAAGCTAAGCGTGCCGGATTATCTTTGTGAGGCAGGGTGAAAAATCGTGGTTCCCATAGCTTAAATATTGTTTACCTTAGGCTAAGTTGTCGAGTTTGACTTGAGACTTAACGGTACAGATGAGACGAGTATGCAATGATATTTCATATCAGTCTCATAAAGGATCTAAGAGTCACATTGGATGTAATTGACATTAGATGTCTACCTAAATAGCGTAAGGTTGTGTGTAACAACTCATTCTTATGTGAAATACGGATCTTAGTCCCATATAGAAAATTATTGTAGGGTTATTTTTCTTTATGGGAATATAGACTGTATGTGCATCTATGTTGTCGTTGATTGATGATGGACTAGCTGGTAGTAGATCATTGATAGAATCTGCACTTTGTTTTGTTCGTTCTGTTTTGTTTTTTTTTTGTAGGACATGGCGTCAACCGTAGCGTACCGAGTTTGACAATGCGATCTATCCTTGAGAAGGATAAGCTGACCGGAATGAACTTCTTAGACTGGTATCGTAACTTGAGAATTGTTCTCAAGTACGATAAGAAGTCATACGTCCTGGAAAGGGCTCTACCACCAGAGCCTGCGGCCAATGCCACGAGAGCCGCCAGGGATGCTTGGTTGAAGCATCAGACTGACGACAATGAGATCTCCTATCTCATGTTGGGAAGCATGGTCCCGAATCTGCAGAGGCAGTTTGAGGGGAAGAGCGTGTTTGATATGATCAATCAGCTCAAGACCACGTTTAAGGAGCTAGCGCATACTGAAAAGTACAAGACGCCGAACGCTCTGGTGAAGACGGAGATGCCGACAGGCAGCTATGTCAACACCTACGTCCTCAACATGAGAGCTCATATTGAGGAACTTGAGCGTATGGGAGTAAAGCTCGATGGTGACTTGGCCGTGGACCTGATCCTGATGTCATTGTCCGAGGACTATAATCAGTTCGTGATGTAGTATCATATGTACGGGATGACAAAGAGCTTAGCCGAACTGCATGGGATGCTGAAATCGGCTGAGCAGGATATCGTGATCCCTAAGACTGTGCTTGTTGTTGAGAACAACTCTAGCAAGAAGCGACGAGGTAAAGCCAAAAAGAAGGCGGCGAAAAAGGCAAAAGTTGCCTCTACGTCTAAGCCTAAACCCGATAAGGGTGACTGTCATTACTGCGGAGTGTCTGGACACTGGAAGCTAATTGTCACCTTTACTTGGAGGATCTAAAGGACAAGAAGCTTGGTGAAGCTTCTGCCTCAGGTATTCATGTTATAGAAGCTAACATCTGTACTACATCTTCGTGGGTATTGGATACCGGAAGTGCCTCACACATTTGTGGAAATGTGCAGGGACTAAGAAGAAGTAGGATGCTAGCAAAGTGAGAAGCGGATCTATGCGTCGAAAATGGAGCAAGAGCTGTTGCATTGTGTGTTGGCGTTTATGATTTGCATCTTCCTTCTGGACTTGTTTTAGAATTGAGTAATTGTTACTATGTGTCTGCGATTAGCAGAAACATCATTTCTATTTCATGTCTGGATTTGGATGGTTTTCGATTTGTGATTGAGAGCTCGAGTTTGATGATTTATCGAGACAGTATTTACTATGGTAATAGTTATCTTGTGAATGATTTATACGTCTTGAATGATTAATCTTTGAACTCGATATCGTCCATCTATAACGTGAGTATTAAACGGTTTAAGCCGAACGACTTAAACCCGACCTTCCTCTGGCATTGTCATCTAGGCCATATAAACGAGAAGCGCATCCAAAAGCTTCATCATGAAGGTCTTCTGGATTCATTCGGCTTTGAGTCTCTTGAATCTTGGGAGTCTTGTTTGATGGGCAAGATGACAAAGCATCCTTTCAAGGGGAAAAGACATAGCGACAGAGTTATTGGCTCTCATACATAGTGATGTATGTGGACCAATGAGTTGTCCAGCTAGAGGAGGTTATCTGTATTTCGTTACGTTCACTGATGATTTCAGTCGATACGGTTATGTCTATTTGATGAGACATAAGTCTGAAACATTTGAAATGTTCAAGGCTTTCAGAAACGAAGTACAGAACCAGCTTGGCAAGACGATCAAGACACTTCGATCAGATCGTGGTGGCGAATAGATGAGCCAAGAGTTCTCTGACTATCTGGTTGATTGTGGTATTTATCACAATTAACTCCTCCTGGAACGCCACAGTGGAATGGCGTGTCTGAACGGAGGAACCGAACACGGTTAGACATGGTTCGGTCGATGATGAGTCAGACAGATCTTCCGAAGTCTTTTTGGAGCTATGCCTTAAAGACCGCTGCGTACCTGCTGAATAGGAGTCCAACGAAGGCGGATGAAACGACGCCATATGAGATATGGACGGGGAAGCGTCCCACGTTGTCGTTTGTCAGAATTTGGGGTTACGACGTTTACGTGAAGCGTCAGATGACTGATAAGTTATCCGCTAAATCTGATAAGTGTTTATTTGTAGGCTACCCTAAGGAAACTAAGGGTTACTACTTCTACATTCCGGCAGAGAACAAGGTGTTCATTGCCAGGAATACTACTTTTATGAAGCGAGAGTTCGTCTCCAAAAGAGTCAGTGGGAGTAAGATCGAACTTGAGGAAGTTCGAGAGCAACAAGTAGACGCTGAGTCGAGTGAACAAGTTGAAGAAGTTCAACCTGTTTCACTGCGGTTGCGACGTAACCTTCGACTAATGAACCTCAGAGATCAGGCAGGATTCGCCAAGAGCCTGTGAGATATGGATTTCTGGTGACTGGGAATGAGGAGCTCATGTTATTAGAACATGACGAGTTGAACAAAGCAAGTGGAATCCCTTCGGGCCTGTGGATATGTGAATCCATAAGATCCATTCAAGACCTGCAAGAGCTCATTCTCTTGTTCTGTTTTCTTTTGGTTTGGGGTTTATGTTACTTGCGCATGTTATTTGTATTAGGGGTGAGCACTTCGGTTCGGGAATTTAGTACCGACCCGATCCGTCCCGAAACCGAACCATATCGAACCGAACCGAATAACGTTTGGTTCTAATTTGGTACACTTTTTATGGAACCGAATGAACCGTTCCCGAACCGAACCGTATGAATACCGAACCAAAATTCGAATATTCCACTAATATATGTGTAAATAGTATAGTTCGATACTTATTTGGTATTCATATAATGGTACCGTTTCGAACCGAACCGATACTAAAACCGAACCGAACCGAACCGTTTAACATTCGGTTCTAGTTTGGTACACTTTTTATAAAACCGAAAATACCGTTCCCGAACCGAACCGCTTGAATACCGAACCGAAACCCGAAACGCCCACCCCTAGTTTCGGGTTTATGTCAATACCTCCCCATCGATTTTTCCGTGAGCCGCGTCCCGACGTTGTATCAAACCAATCACATCTGAATATGATTGTTTTCAACCCGACTAATCCTGGCTGGATACTGGAGTTGGAAAATCTGACGAAGAACCCCAAAGAAATCAGGATCTTCCGATGACCCGCTTTTTATACAAACTCCGTAATTGAACGTGGATTTATGTTTTCCATGATCGTAAGTGTGAAACGTGTATCCTCGGGTGAACATTATCGACTAGCAAATGACTTTTCTTCCAGGTCCATGTGATATATCTCTGATCCATGCCGGAATTCTATCACTGCATGACTGAATCTGCGCATAAAAATTAAATTAATACACAAATACATACACGTACATATATATATATAGCTAGAATACTTACGTAGTCTCGAAGCCAAGATGCATAATGTTGTTCCTTCATTCCTTCAAGTTCCTCCCCACTTAGGTTAGGATATGTTGCCAAAACATCCTCGTCAAAAAGTCTTAAAAATATGTTGTTAGCAAATATGTAATTAATTAATTTCTAATCACATCTAAGATTAAAAAATGTGTACCTTTCGTATGGCTTAAGTTCTTCACAATTCAACAGTATATATGTGGCGATGTGATTGTACTCTTGTACAGTTAACCAATATTCTTCAGATTTGCCTCCGAGGCGTCCAGTAGGCTGAAAGCTTTCGGGAATAAGTCCGAAACATGAATCATAGTGGTAGAGATAACTTCTATCGTCTTCGTTGATAGCCCTCCTTTTCTTCGTCTGAATATGAGATTCAAAATAGAAAGAACTGAAGTAGGAGATCTCCTCTTACAAATACTGTTTGACGATAGATCCTTCCACTGCTGCTTTGTTTTTAGCCTTCTTCTTCAGATGGAAAAAAAATCGCTCAAATGGATACATCCATCTAAACTGTACTGGACCACCGTATATCGCCTCATCTGGTAAATGAATAGGTAAATGTTCCATCACATCAAAAAATGAAGGTGGAAATACCTTTTCCAATGCGCAAAGTATCTCAGGAATGTTGCCTTTCAAAACCTCTACATTACTTCTTCTCAGAGATCTTGCACATATATCTCGAAAGAATGTGTTGATACCGCATAACGCTCCGTGGACACTGGGTTTCAATAGCTCCGCAAATGCAATAGGAATAAGTCTTTGCATGAATACATGGCAATCATGACTCTTCATTCCCATAAGTTTTAATGAATCAGTATCAACACATCGCGCCAATTTGGATGCATATCCATCAGGGAATTTAACCTCTTCTTTTAACCATTTAAACAAGACCGTTTTACCTGGTTTTGTGAGTCTGAATATCGGCACAGGTGCGTGACCATCACGTGTCAACTCCAACTCTTTTCTCTTGCATATATCTTTCAAGTCCTTCCTCGAGTTGATGTTATCTTTACTTTTCCCTGGCACATTCAGAACGGTGTTGATGATGTTATCAAAAAAGTTTTTCTCTATATGCATAACATCCAGATTGTGTCGAAGCGTTAGCGAACTCCAGTAAGGCAAATCCCAAAAAATACTACGCTTATACCAGTTATGCCAATCATCAAATCCTTTGCACTTCTTATGCCCAAAATTTCCTCCACAATGCACAGAAGCTTCCAAATCATCCAAATATCCACTATTTATTCGCTCAGAATAAATTTGCTCTCCGGTTTGCATAACAGGACCTTCCTCAGTAACGATTTTACCTTTGGTAAAAAGCGTACGATTTTGTCTTAACGGATGATTCTTTGGAAGAAATCTGCGATGACAGTCAAACCAGCACGTCTTTCTCCCATGTCTCAACTGAAACGCTTCTGTTTTCTCCATGCAAAACGGACATGCAAGTCTTCCATGTGTGCTCCATCCCGATAGCATGCCATACGCCGGAAAATCACTGATCGTCCAAAGAAGAACCACTCTCAGTGTAAAATTTTGTTTCACACTTACGTCGTAAGCAGGGACTCCAATGTCCCACAAATCCTTCAACTCCTTAATGAGCGGCTGTAAATACACATCTAAACTCTTCTTCGGATGTTCTGGCCCAGGAATCAACAATGTCAAAAACATAAATTCTCTTTTCATGCACATCTCAGGTGGTAAGTTGTACGGAGAAAGTATAACTGGCCATAATGAATACTGCATGCCAGACTGTCCGTACGGACTAAATCCATCAGTACACAAACATAGATACACATTCCTAGGCTCAGCAGCGAATTGAGGAAATACCATGTTGAAGTTTTTCCACGCCAAAGCATCTGATGGATGTTGCATTTCTCCATCAACGGTAGAATGCGAGGCATGCCATCTCATATGCGAAGCCGTTTGTTGTGATTCATACAAACGCTTCAATCTGTACGATACCGGCATATAGAACATCTTTTTATACGGAGTTTGTCTCTGTACATTCTTACTCGGACGGTATCTGTTAGTCCCACAGAATTTACACCTAACCAATTCTTTTTCTTCACCCAGTACAACATGCAACCATTTTTGCAAACATCAATCTTTTCATAAGGCATTCCCAAATTCTTCAACATAGCCTTCGTATCATAATACGATTCTGGAGCTTCGTTATTTTCAGGTAAATATTCACGCAACGTTTGACAAAATGAATCCATGCAATTTTCGGTGACATTGTAATCCGTTTTCATACTCATCAATCTTGATGCAAGAGATAAACGTGACTGACCTTCTTTACATCCTTCATAGATAGGATGATTTGCCATATCCAACATGTCGAAAAACCGTTTTGTTTCGACGTTTGGCTCCTCCTGATCTTGTGATAAGTTTTGCTCAGCCAATGGCGCCCCAGGAAAAGCATCTGTCACCATTTCAACATAAGGATTTCTTACATCTTCATCTACATCATACCTCTGCTCGGCCGAGACATGTTGTCCCGTTGTGATTGTCCGAACTTCTTCTCCATGAAATCGCCAAATATAATAATCTTCGACAAATCCCCTTCGAAATAGATGTTTACAAACATCTTCTGTACTGCGATATTTAAAATTGCGACAACTTGTACATGGACATAGCATTTTTCCACGTTCTTGACACAACGGCTGCATAGAAGCAAAATTCATAAACTGTTCCAAACCGTTAATGAATTCTTGCGTTACCTCTTTTGTAATCGAATCAACTCTTTCGTATATCCACTGTCGGGACGAACGAATATTCGGATTTGTTGAAGATGTCATTTTTAGGAGAATTTTTGGTAAAAGAATAGTATAAGAGTGATTTAGAGAGTGGTTTGGACGAATTATGGCCGGGTCCTTTAAATAGAGAAACTTTCCAACGGATATCCGTTGGAAATCCGTTGAAAAGTTCGTTACCGTTACACTTTCCAACGGATATCCGTTGGAATATTTCGAACGTTATAACGTTCGACTATTTCCAACGGATATCCGTCGGAATTATTACCGCGTTTCATAACGTTCGAATAATTTCAACGGATTGCCGTTGAAATTCGTCAAACGTTATTTCCAACGGAAATCCGTTGGAATATACGTGGAAAATTTCCAACTCAAATATCCGTTGATATGCCGTTGGAAATTTCCAACGGATTTCTAACGGATGAATCCGTCAGACGTCCGTTGGAAATCCGTTAGAAATGCGTTGGAATTATTCCAACGGTATACCGTTGGAAATCCGTTGGAATTTCGCAGTTTTTTTGTAGTGACTCTGATTGATGCATTTGAAGGGATAAAACCCATCGGATGCAAGTGGATCTTCAAGAAGAAAACCAACATGGATGGCAACGTGCACACGTATAAGGCACGACTTGTGGCGAAAGGATTCCGTCAGATTCATGGTATTGACTATGATGAGACTTTTTCGCTTGTAGTTATGTTGAAGTCGATCAGGATCCTGCTTGCATAGCTGCATATTACGACTATGAGATATGGTAAATGGATGTCAAGACCGCATTCCTTAACGGGAGCTTGACCGAGGATGTGTACATGACACAACCCGAAGGTTTTATCAATCCAAGGAACCCGGGGAAGGTGTGCAAGCTTCAGAGGTCCATTTATGGACTGAAGCAGGCTTCGAGGAGGTGGAACCTTCATTTTGATGAGATAATCAAAAGGTTTGGTTTCTCACAGAACGAAGACGAGTCGTGTGTTTACAAGAAGGTTAGTGGGAGCAAAATAGTATTTCTAGTGTTGTATGTGGATGACATTCTCCTAATAGGGAATGCCATTCCTACCTTGCAAGACGTAAAGTCTTGGCTATGGACGCAGTTTTCTATCAAGGACCTAGGAGAAGCGGCCTATATTTTAGGCAGAAAGATCTATAAAGGTAGATCAAGGCGGCTTCTAGGATTGAGTCAGAGTACCTACATCGATAAGGTCTTGAAACGGTTCAAGATGCAAAATTCCAAGAAAGGAACCTTACCGATGAGAAGTGGCATAGTTCTGTGCAAGAGTCAGTGTCCTACGACACTTGATGAGCGAAAACGCATGTATCGGATTTCATATGCTTCGGCAATTGGATCGATCATGTATGCCATGCTTTGTACTCGACCGGATGTATCCTATGCGTTGAGCATTACGAGTAGATACCAGTCAGATCCAGGTGAGTCACACTGGATCGCCGTTAAGAACATCCTGAAGTACTTAAGAAGAAATAAGGATGTGTTTGTTGGGTTTTCCTGGGATCTCATGAGCGAATCCTATTCCTAAGAGATCGATTCTAGGGTTTGCGCAGCGGATGTAAAACAAAAATTTAATAAACCCTAGAACCATGCTACTATTGAAATCGTAGAAACCTTAGAACGCTTACCTCAATCGATCCGGGGCCTGTATCAACTGAAGAATTCGTTCGATCACGAAAGGCAGGAAGATTACCTCGCCCTCTACACGTATCCACACCTCGGGATGGATTCCAACGATTGGAACTTGTCTGCTAGGACTCGAATCTCAATTCGATTTGTGCACCGAGAAATCTCGAGACTTAGAACTCGTTTTTGGATCTCCAAAAACTCTCTCTTTTCTGCCAAAAGTCGGCTGCTCAAAGTCTCTCACTAATTAGGGTTCTAATCTCTTTCTTATAAAGTGATTTAACCCTAATTTTGGTTTAATTACGAAAATACCCAGAGCCCAGAACGGACGGTCCAGAAATGCACGTGGACCGTCCGTTCCAGCAAGCAGAACGGACGGTCTGCGTTAGTGGACCGTCCGTTCCAGACCTTCTGGAACGGACAGACCGCGCACTCTGGACCGTCGGGTCTGGACTTGGTGGACCGTCCGTTCTGGACTTCCGGTCCGTCCGTTCCAGACCCTTCTGTCTCGGTTTTTTGTCGTTTTCCCTCGTGCATTTGTCCTTCCCTGCGTGTATGACCCTGTAGGCTCATTCGATATAGCAGTATAACCCGAAATCTCTATTTCGGATATACAAGTCATAGGCGGTCTCTAGCAAGACACTATGACTACCTATCTCGAATAGAGTCTGTTCGTGATCTTTACGAACGCCAGAGATGATTCCGGTTGATGATCCTTTTGTATCACGATATCATATGTCGAACATAAGGCATGGACAAGCCACCTTATCTGATTCGACTGCTTTCTCGTTCACTGAGTTCGACTGTCTGAAATAGACGACGTTCGTCTATAGTGCGGCCACACATTTCTACAGTCTCGCTCACACGAGGGGCCCAGCGATATCTCTCTCTTTTACGAGAGGTACAAATCCCGTTCTGACTATCTACAATCCAGTACATGATTCATTTCGTGCCTGATACACGCCTTTATAATCCTCCT